ACGTCGAAAAATGTTCACTTTGATAAAGTATAGCTGTAAACAATCAATTCAGTAATAAAATTAATTATTACACATATATGTACACCAGGATACAAGTAGCTGTACCTGATCTCACTGAGAAAAAGTCTGAGCGGGCCAAGCTTCACAACCAATCCGGCGGAGTAAAGGGCAAAACGACCTTCTGCTGGTTCAAGACGCCTAGCATGCATGGACAATATCCAAAACCACTCAACAAGATCCAGCGTTCCATTCGGGACAAACTGTGCAATGAGGAAATTATGGGCGTAGCTACACTTTCAAAAGAAAGCAAACAATGGGCAGGTCATATCGCATGATCGATTGACTTCAACAGTGACGGATTGGTACCTAAGGGTGAGTAAGTGTCTAACTGCAAGATCTCGGCTGAGATGGGCATCAGTTAATAGCGAGATGTTGAAGCTTGTGGCAACAAATTGCAATCTGACATCGAGACAGGACAATGAAGACCGTCATCAACAACGAAGAAGGATCGATCAGCCGCCACTACGTCTACGTGAGCTTGTCTGCTTAGATATTAACTTCTTAACATCATGACTGTATATTATAAATTTTACCTTTAAAACTCAATTTCAGCCTTTGAAGCGAACATGGGGTTCCTGTAAGTCAGCCGTATTCCGACACGCAACGTCAGCGCTAACTGAAATTTTAACCCACGCGGTTGTGCCGTGTAATGCCGCCACTCAGCCCTTGTTTAAACTAATGTGTGTATTTAAACCTCAGAACACTTACGATTCTCATAAAAACGGTGTACTAATTTATTACAACGCAGTAACACACCACTGTCTCATCGGTGGACTGTCGCTATTAACTTACAGTTACTCTTTCGGATTCGGGAAGGTATGAATAATGTAGATCTTCTATATTTCCGGATGTCCGTTTCCGTTGTCATTCCGATCTTCTCGTGGTGCATTTCCACAATTCGTCCTTCTCTCAGCATCGCATGCATATGTGGAAAAGATTGCAGCAGCGATGAGCAAATGGTACAAGTTGCTCTGTAATCAGAGGAAAACGTATTAACTCTGATTATCGGTGCTTTAAGATCATTACTGAAATTCTAGTTATTTTTAGTAATGATAAGCAACTTCATACAGTTGTTTCCTTTCCATGACTGTGACATAAGCGTTAAACTTATGGAACGCATCCATGACGAACTGCAAGGTAGAATCGACGAAAAGTATAAAATATTGTGAACAAATCAAAACCAATGTCGCAAGGAGCATTATTACAAACTTTACTCCATAAATTTCCATCACATTATTAGATCAAGAATATCAAGAAGCAAAAATGGCACTCACTGATATACAAACAGTGGATATCGTAATTCTGAAACATACTGTGTACCTTTTAAAATTACGAACCAATGAAATGAGCACACACAACTATCACAGATGCATAGACAATCAGATGACGACGTGGAACGAAAATGAATGTCGTATCAAAATGGCCACATGGCCATTGCAATAGTCACTCCACGGCGGATAATGACCAATGGTCTCGATCGGGGGCCTTAAAAAGTCGCCAGGAGTGCCGACTCGTTAAACGTTATCCGCAACGTAAAAACCGTCTAAAGATTGACTTAAGTGGTGCTTCATTGCCGACCACTCGGACCACGGCTGAGCGCAGACAAGAACCGCTCGTCCCAGTTCGTACTTAGCCACTATCAGAAATTCTGACTTGCTACCGCGGCCGAAATACATCTCCGTCGAGCAACCCGCACGAAGACGAACCGGAAAAACTATAAAATGTGGATATATTATTTTAGCACGTTTCATTTTCTCCGTCAAAGACTGACGGATAGAGCGAGTGCTTCAGTAATCAAAGTTAAGCAGTATTTAACAAAACAAACAAGCGTCTTTCAGTGAGCCTTTATAGTTTCTGAACAACAAATCAGGCATGAATCA